ATATATATATATATATATATATATATATATATATATATATATATATATATATATATATATATATATATATATATATATATATATATATATATTACACTAGTTTAGATAATCTGTAACTATATTATTAAAAAATGAAGAAGAGGATAATAGTGATGGTGAAGATGCAATAGTTAGTGTCAAAATGGATGACAAAAATAAAAATAAAATATAATACACTTACTTTGATATTGGAAGTGATAAGGATAACCATTGTTTTAACTTGGAATATATTTTTTGAAGAGTTTCGTGCCACGATCAAGCAACATGTCACTTCTATGAGCAAACATCTCATATATGTAAAGAATGATAAGGATAAAATTAGGGTGGTATGCCAAGCTGAATATGATTGGATGATATATGCATTGAAAATGCAAGAACAAACAACTTTGTAAGTAAAAAATTTGAATGCAAAACATTCATATGGGCGATCATTTGACAATCCTCTAGCTATAATTAAGTGATTGGTCGATAAATACAGGATTAGAATGAATCCTACTTGGCAATAATCCAATAAGAGTATGCTTTGAATATTTCTATACAAAAAATATATAGAGTGAAAAATAAAGTATTGAAAATGATCACATGTACTGGAAGTGAAGAATATGGTTTGTTATGGAATTACCGCGAGCAGATATACGATAAAAATCCGGAGAGCACGTGTCATCAAATATAGGGCTGACAGCAAAAATAATATATTTCATAGAATTTATGTTTGCTTTGCTGCACTAAAGGAAGCGTTCTTATAAGCACATTATAGGCTTTGATAGATGCCATTTGAGTTCAACACCGAAAGGTATATTATTGATTGGTGTTGGGATTGACCCAAATAATCAAATGTATCCATTTGCTGCAGAAGGAGAATAATGATACATGGAATTGGTTCATTAGCTTACTGGATAGGGATGTGGCCAGTTAGTAATCAAAAACCATTTGAGCCTCTTGATCTTCCTAAAAGAAAACTTGAAAAATAATAAAAATTAAAAAGGAGAGGTCCTCTTGAGCCACCGAAGGTTCCTAAATTTAAAAGGGTTAAATACCACAGTCAGTTGCAGTCTTTGCCATCAGCATAGTTACAACAAAAAAAGGATATAGGAAAAGGCAAGCATTTTCAGTTATAATACAGGCTGAAAACTGAACACAGATTCTCGACAATTGTGACTGTGGTGGCAACCTACCTACCAAAAATGATCACAGCTTGTAATTCTCAATTTGATCTAAAATTATGAAAAGAAAATTGACAGCATCTGATGTTGGAATGTTGGCTTTGAAGACTTGTGATCTTGAAAACTTGTATTTCAACCAAGTATGTACTTGGTGGAATAGTTCGGTGGGGATAGATAGCATTGGTAGAGAAACGACTGAACCAACTGCTGGGATACACTCCCTTGATGGATTATCACTAGTCTATTACTATAAATCATCTGACGAGAAGCTCTCATCATTCTCCTTCCTACCTTTGTGAATATGTGCAGGTGCTCAACAATGGTTCAGAGATGGTCTCCAGCTTTCACATGTGGTTAGGTGTATGAGAGGTGCCTAAGTTTGATAGATGTTTAAGCTCTCAAGCTGTAATTGAGCAAAACTTGTACCATGTTGTAGCTTGTAGATTTTGGTGAATGTAACAGTGACTCTATGATGACCAATTTGATATTTTCTCAACCCTGCATTGAACTCTATGTAATGATCAGAAATGAACAGTCTTCTGTCGGTTGAGTGACAGAAGGATGCTTATGATATTATGTTCATAGATCTGTACTTGCATTATTATGAAGTTTCGATGTCCTTTATGCAGTGAAAGCTCCAAAATTGTTAGGAATAACAAATAAAGATTTTTTGGACTATTATGTTTTATATGTGTATTTAATTACAATTTTTGCTGTAGATGTAGCTGAAGGTGCCATCTCTGAAGGTAGACAACTTCTAACACAAGTAGGAGATTGATAGGAAATTGTCACTGTGAGCCAAACTCCAATGAGGCATGGCAAAGTTCATGAACCAATAAGCATACAAGTTTTTGTCATCAATAAACAATTATTTCTCATGATGGCTTATAAAACATGACACTTCCACTTTCCCTCCAAATCTCATGCCAATATATTTCAGTGATTTGCAGCAATGTTGAAGAACTTGTATATTATCTCCAAGGGTGAAATGATTGCATCTTATGTTTGTTACTAAAGAAAATGAGTACAAAAGTGCAAGACCCTCAATGGCTATTCTTAAAGCAAGCAAACTATTTGGCATCAGTTTGCATATAAATTAGGTTGTGAAAGGACTCATAATTCATAATTAGTTTGATAATTGGCTGTAAGATGGATCAGTTTTCAAAAGCTATGAGATGTAAGTAATTGGACTAATTCTAAACCCAAATTGAGATAAAGCTTTCTCTATCTTTAGCTACTTGAAATAGAGCATAAAGAAGACACTAAACAATTGGCATTCTCACAGTCATATGTATGTTATAAATTCTACAGTAAAGCCTTTGCAAGAAATATACATGCTCCTCTTTTTATTCCTCCAAACTCATAAACTTAAGCAAGCTAAATTCTTCTTTGCAAAAATCAAAATATAGAGAATCTGCATTGAGTTAACATCTTTCTGTCTCTCTTTTACACAGACAAAGCTGACACCACTCAAATAATATTTTAATCCATCAGTCATGTAAAAGAGGAAGAATTCAGGAGGATAAAATCTAGTTGGTGAGTAATATAAATGTAGCAAATTATAAATCTGATCTCTTTCATTATTAAATGAACTCGATCAGACCGGTCCTCTGGTTGACAAAGATATGATTTAGGGATGAATTAAATCCCATAACCCAAACTTATTTAGGTCTTCAAGAAAGAGGGGTGACGGTGAGTCCTCAAGAAAGTGGAGGGGAGGAGGAAAGCGGTGCCCTAGCCATTGCCCTTCACAGGATTAAGAGACAACCTCTTCCTCTTTGTTATCCTTGCACTCTGATTCGTTAAGACCGATCGGGATGTTGATGTATGACAGATGAGTAGATCCAACAACAAGTATGGTGGCACCAGGATCTCCTTTCAAATGCCACCAATCTCTTGCACCACTGATGCCACTGTTAGTCTACCATCCACAGTATAACCAAAGTGGAGGAAATCAAAGGGGAGAAAAGCGACATGAAATTTCTATAAAAACCTCCACGATATGAGTGAGAAGTTTATATGAAATTAATAATTTAAAATATATATAATAAAATTATTTTTTTATCTTTTTTATTCGTACCTTTTTTTGTAATATGATAACATGTATAATTTTTTTTCTGTCGATAAAGTTAATAATATGAGAAGAATTGAACTTAAATATTTTACTTTGATAAGTGTAAGGATTTCAATACTATTTTTTAAAATATAAGCATCTATATATTAATTGTGTGTGCGGAAGTGAGCTTATGATTCAGATACAATCCCACCCCGACTGAAACCACAGCAGCCACAGCCAAAGCCAGCATGAGCCCCTTCCTGGTGTCGCGCAGTTCACGTTCCAGTCCGCCCATCTCAAGGTTCATCTTCCTCAGCCTTAATCCAACACCACGGCTAGCCGCCCGAGCTGCTGCTTTCTTCTCGCCATCCCCTGGTTTATCCTCCTTGACCTGATCCTTCTCTTGTTTCCCAACCTTCTCATTCTCCTCCTCCCCACCTTGTTTCCTGATGCTGCCGTCGTCTGGCGGAGAAAGTTTGGTGATGGACTTGGGGAAGACAAGATGAAGAAGTCCGTTCTCGAACTTGGCACTGATCTTGTCGAGGACGCAGTTCTCCGGCACTCGGAATTCCTTGCGGAAGCGGCTCCACCGGCCGTCCATCGTGGGACGCTGTCCGCTGACAACTACTCTCCCCTCGCTGTCGAGTTGTACGTTGAGTTCCTCCTTCACGAAGCCTATGCTTGAAAAATGGAAGCACATCAAACGTATCGGATGCATATGTAATAGAACGAAGAATTGTGTTACTTTGCATGATTTAGATCTCGACAAACATTCCTCAAAGAATCATACTGTTGTTTTCGTTACTACTAATCAAATCTAAAGAACTGATCAAATTGAAACACAGAAAGCATGCCTTCGAGAGAAACGACGATCGTATCCGCCTCTTCCTCTTGAATCAACCTGTGGGGAGGGACGAAATCATGGTAAGCACGCTGCCCAACACTGGGTTGCCGCCTCGTTCCCATGTCAGACTCTGATCGGGTGCTTGCAATGTGATGGGCACTAACGCATGAGCTTGACATAACATATAGACAGTTCCTTGTGTGCCCTGCACTCTTCTATTCCAGTCTTGCTGAGGTTGGATAGATTGCTATGATTCTTGCATCATCGTAAGCTTACAAAAGATGCCAATTGAAGGCTCTCAAGTAATGCAAGCTTCGCTGCGTTGGAGATTCATGCTTAACGTTGCATGGAGCAATGCAGAAAGAGTAGTTCTTTGTTAATCCAGAGGTCAGAATCTTATAAATGAAAAGCAACCACAATATCTTTCAAAAGGGAAAACAATTGATGGATATGGAAGAAGTTTACTCATAAACTTACTGTCTAAAGACATCACAGCAGCAGGCTAGAGATAATTCTGCTCCAACATCTATTTCACACAGGAAACTGTAAAAACAATACATAACATATTTCACACAGTACAGATAAACTTGCTGACTGAACGGTTGATCGGTTATGAACTCGTGCACCAAGAGATGACAAACTAGTGAGGTATGTAGAAGATTCACCAGAAAATCTTGTGCATTGCTTGGTAACATAGGGTTCCATCAACAACAGGCCTTTCAAGGAAGAGGGAATCACCATTGGTACTTGGCCGCAATAAGGACTTCTTCGTAGCGCTGAGCAGCATTATCCCAACTAAGGTCTTGTATCATCCCTCGTACCTGCAGTCTCTCCCAACTCTTCTTGTGGTTTCTGTATGTGTCTAAACAATGCTGCAGTGCCTGTATCATCCTATTTGCCTCTGCCCTTTCAAAGGTCCAACCCAAGCCTACGTCATTGAGTGGATCAAACTGTTGCACAGTGTCTCTTAGACCACCGACAGAATGCACCACAGGAACAGTTCCGTACATCATCGCATAAAGTTGGTTCAGTCCACAAGGCTCGAATCTTGATGGCATCAGTAGGATGTCAGCACCCGCTGTGATTCGATGAGCCATCTTCACAGAAAACCCAATCCATGCCCTGGCCTTGTCGCGATGTGCGCTTTCGATTCCCCGAATCATATCTTCGAGGTCTCGCCTTCCTGTGCCCAGCATGACTATCTGTAGATCCTGACCGACAAGCCATGGCCTGGCCTCTGCTATGAGATCTACGCCTTTCTGATAGTCCAATCTCCCAATAAAGGCAATGATAGGAACATCACCCAGGACTGGCAGACCAAGCTCACGTTGCAAAGCAGCCTTGCATTGGGCCTTGCCCAATTGAAGAGTTTCCAAAGAGAAGTTGGTGTAACCATCAGAAGTTAGGTACACATCGGAATTAGGGTTCCAACTTTCTGTACTAATCCCATTAACAATACCTCGAAATTTCCAGTCATTATCACTAATGATTTCATGCAGGCCCCAGCCACCTTCGGGTGTTTTTAGTTCCCAAGCATAACCATGGCTAACAGTAACCACACGGTCGGCAGTTTTTAAACCAGCTGCAAATATATTGAAATGTTCACCTCCAACAGGATCATAGAATTTGAAAAGGTCTAAGTAGTGATCTGGCAAATCCACAAGGGAGAAGTCGTCTACTGGACCACGGCCCTGGAAGACAAACCAGCCTCAATTAATATACCTGATGATGATGACAGATGTTGCTGCAACTCTCCATGGGAAATGCCGAAATTGTATCCTCATTTTCTGAATAAAAAGATGATTCTACATTGTACTGGAACAAGATAATGCTATACATCAACAATGTTAAGAGAAGTATATAGCCAAACCCAAAAGGTCCATCAAGTGGCTAGTCATGCGAGAAACTTACATTTCATTTTGGGCACCCTTTGCTGAATCTTCTGGAGGATACTGTCATATTCAAATACCCCACTATATGTATAGTTACCAATTCCAACTCTTCTTATGGCAAATAAATTAATGGCTGAGTGCTTTCATTTTTTAAATTTCCACGCATTTGCAGATCTTGTTTGGAAATACCAACTTAGGATCAAACTAGAGTGGTTAACATTCACCCTACAACTAGAGTCTTGGATTTCAATTTCAAAATTGGGCAACAGACTGCAATTTTCAAAATGTATGTGTAGAATGTCCATCATGGAGTTGTATTTTGTTGGTCAGGGTTCATTAATGAGCAGAAAGATAAAACTATATTAGCAGGTAACTAAATAACTAAGGAGCTGACAAAATTTCCACCAACAGAAAAATCTGTAGGACATTAAAAAGAAAAGGGCAATGATCAGTATGCAAGATTAAATACTAAAAAAAGTTAAAAAGACTATGAAATATTTTTGAGAAATATTAAAGAATGATGAGCAAATTTTTTGATGGCTTTTGATGAAACACTATAACATAGCACCAGCATTCTTTTGCTGGGTGGAAAATTAGTAGCACAATTTGTGCTTCTTATGGTGATTCAGTAGACATTGCCTTGTACCTAGTTGGAAAATCAAATAAAATGTAAATAGTATTTCAAATAATTATGGATTAATGCATATTACCATATATTGACTGAAATCTCTGATAACAATCCCATTGGCTGAGATAACTAGGAACCAAATAATGCCTCTTTTTGGCTCAGATAATATCATAATGACCATTGAGAACAAATCCTTGCAAAACCTCTTATGATTCAGTGTCTTACACAATCTGAGATCTTGATAGGACAAGAAACATGAGTCTATTTGCTTCTCTCATCCTATAGCACTTCAATCCAGTTGTGAGGATTGACAAGATCCACATACTGATAAATCTACCTTAAAGAAATTTTCCAGCTCATTGATCCTGGCTGCAAAATCTGACAGATGTAATTTAAATCTCCAGGAAAGGAAAAGGCTTATCTTGAATTTGTATAGTTGATCATGGATTAGAAGAATTGTTTCTACCTCCTATCTTGTATTGAAAGAAGAACAAAAAAATGCTACATTGACTATGGTAAAAAAGTAATATGGCCCGCCCTATATACATCCATGAAGTGACTGTGATACCTTCAGATAAACACAGTAGCATCAAATTTATTTCAGGCATCCTCAGCTGAATCTTCTGGTGATTATACAAGTAGAGTATGGTGTTGGTGGTGTTGTAAATATCACAGTGTACCGGTTATCTCATTATTATCATTTATCCTGAATAATGAGGACAAAGAAAGGATCAAGAGCGCACTGTTATTACCCTAGAACGTTTTCAACATTGAATTGTCTTAACCAAGATGAAAACCATGGGTTTAATTATTCCTCGTGCTGAACCGTATCAGCAATAAACTTCAACCAAGCCATTCATTTGCCTCATAAATATCTTTTCCTACACTTATTGGGTTACAACAATGGTTAATTTAGTTGGTCAACAATTTAGCCCAAGAGGTATCTTATAACTTTTAAATATGAATTGACCATTCCCAATTATTAACAATACATGACATAGGAACAAAGGCATTTATGTGATAATGGAAACTAGAAACTGCTGTTACCTGGTAAGCTATGTTGTGTATCACCAACACACATCGGGCATACTTCATCAACCCCATATCACGATAATATGCCTTTAAATAAACAGGAAGCAGGGAAGTATGCCAATCATTTGCAATAAAAACCAAGTTCCCATCTCCATAGCAGACACCACCACATGGAATGTGCCAGGGAACCTGAAACAACTTAGACAGTCTTCTTCAGGTGACAATTAAGTTAAAGGGGATATTTTGGTAGATAAATTGTGAACTATATTAACAAAAACAATTTCTGGCCTACAAAGAAACTATAGTTGATCTTTACTGAGTTGATGCTAGCTAAGATTATTAAGAATGCCCAAACAGTTTTAGATAAAAGGTTTATGGATCTTAAAGAAGTAATAAAATCTATGCATCTTCATGAATGCTTTTGCATGAAAGTCTTCAAGTGTAGGACTGCAAGTACATTCTTGTCTCTTTGTTCTCATTCACTCAGATTTGGCAATTTAGTGGCTTACATTCTTGAATCTTAGTACTCAAATTACAAAATGGCCTATTTGACAATCACAAATCCTCAGTATAATAATGTCTCTTTATGAAGTTTCCACAACCTTTATATTTGACTCAAAATTTTAATCTGAAACCAGTCTAATAAGCTTATGGACTAAAGCACCATGAATTTATTAATGTGTACATTATCTTTCAGGAAAATCATATATCTCCATGCAAGTGTTGCCATGCTGATTGACATACCCCCAACATGGGCTGAAATATATTGTGCTAGAAAAATATAGAATGTGTTATCGCAAACCATGACAAAGAAGCCAACATACAACTATGGTCAAGTTTTGGTAAATATTCTGGCTCACACGGGCCTGTGCCTACAGGCATGACAATCAATAATACCATGCCAGCAAGGCAATCACACACCCCCATGCAATAATACATCAATCGTCCTTTCCAAGAAACACAAGCTAGGAAGACAAGCACTTGGATATCCAAATATTAGTAATTATAGATGACTACCATATAGCATCAGCAACAGAAACCACAATAATGCTCAGGAAAGTACCTCAACTGCTGCCCTGCACAATAAAACCATCCGTTTCAGAATATCCTGCATTTAAACATTAAAAAAAATATCACTAGGAATGAGATTTGGTTGATATTGTCATTGTCAAACTATAAAACTACAAAAAAAAAAAGTTCAAGTTAGTGTTCAGAAACAAACAGAAGCAAAAAAACATGGTTACCATGTCTTAATGAACTTAACATAAATAAGGATTACCCGTCGGTTTCCACCATATATGTCATTTTCAATGTGGCGAAAAACAGGACTATCGATAAAGACAAAGTCAACACAATCAATGTAGGCATGATAATAAGTAACCTCCAAGTCCTGTAAAATACAAGTAACAGCAAAATTTAAGTAAAGATATATTATGTGATGTCTGCCAACAATATCACATTGAAAAGATGAATACCTGCCCATCAACCTTGTACCTTTTCAGAACTCCTACTCCTTTGGGTTCAGCATAATTACCATACTTTGGTGCCACTACCTAAATACACAAGATGTGTGCAAATCAGTCTACTTGTTAAAGCAACCCAGTGAAATCAGCTAATCAATTCAACTTTACACAAAATCAGATCAGCAGGTCCAATTCATGTTGCCTATGGAAAAGAAAGTCCAGAAGATATGCTTCAAAGTGGCTGTTCACATTCACTAATTAACTGACTACACCAAGCTAGGTAGAGGCAAAAATAAATCCACTGATAGTTTTTTTTACTTGTGTCTAAGTACAACTTGCAAAGATAAGTCACAGGATCAAGTACCATAACTCGATGCCCTCTCCTGGCCAAGGCCTTAGGTAACTCTCCAACAACATCTCCAAGCCCACCTATAAGAAATCATCAATAAGTGTCAGTTCAAAGAAACAAGTTGAAACAACCCATTTTAATACTTGACAATGGTAAGCAAGCGCAATTACAGCAAAAAATTGAAAAATGATGAAGAGAAGGGCATGAAATCAAGAAAGTGACTGTAATGTCAAATATATGATGTCAACAAGTGATGAATGTGAGTACCTGTTTTGGACCATGGAGCACATTCCGCAGCTACCACTATGACATTCATGGCATTTGGGTTAGCCACAGGAGAAGAGTCAAAGATTCCTTGCTTCGGTGACTCCTCTTGTTGCTCGTCCAAAGCTTGGACAATTGTTACTGCAGAGACCTCAAGGTTCTCATCTTTCATAACATAAGAATTAGACTTGTCAGGAAGAACTGGGAGTGTAACATGAGGCTGAGATTGCTCCAAGTTGGTTTCTCTTAGTAGCCCAAGAGCATCGGCCATGGATTGTTGAACTTCTAAACCACTTATGGGTTCCTCCACCTCATTAACAACACCAGCTTCAGTTGACTGAACATCGGTAGTTTGTTCTGTTAATTGAGATTGCTCTAAGTTGGCTTCTCTTAGTAGCCCAAGAGCGTCAGCCATGGATTGTTCAACTTCTGAGCCATTTATGGGTTCTTCCACCTCATCAACAATACCAGCTTCAGTTGACTGAACATAATCAGAGGAAGTCCAAGAGTCATTTGTTCTCTGAAGCTCTCCATTGTTACCTCCATCAAGGTTTGAGAAAGAACTATTACTCTGATTGTAAGAAGCTGGTTCCTTTTCTTTCGTACCAACACTATCTTTTGTGGATGATGCTATTTCTCTCCTTTCAACAATCTGCATCAAGTTGAGAAGATTTATGATTAATTTTGAAATCAACATGAATTCGCCTATACATAACACAGTGTTACAGGCAGCTACTTGTGTAATCATTTTTTTCATTTTAATGCTATTTAAATTATGTGTCTTTATTAACAAAAGATAAGTTTACAAGATCAACAATGCCATGAAGAATAGTATTGTCATGATGGATACAAGAAACTAAACACAAATGTGTTCATTTACACCACATATTACTCAAATTGGGAGATTCCAATAAGTAGTACGACAAAAGAAGATAGAACATATATAAAATGCAAATAACTTTCAAGCACAAAACATATGGAGTAGCCCAAAATTTTTCTTGAAATACAAAAGAAGACCTGGTTCAGGAGGCTCCTCTGTATGGTCAGAACCTCCTTGCTCAGTACGATGGCAGTCTGGATTGTATTAACAGTGATCTCCCTATCATCCTCATCACTATCCTCTTGTCTTTCAGAACTGATGCTTCTTCCAACTCCTAATAGAAGCCTTCCATTCTTTTGGGTGTTTGGAACTAAACCCACCAATAGTCCATGGTAGACAGCATTCAGAAACCTCACCGTGCAAGCACTTCCATTATAACTGATGTGATTGCGTCGGGTATTGCTCTGAAGGAGAACAAAACCATTACCATTTTTATCAATAAAAATAAACAAAGGTTTGACATCAATATGTGATAACCATGAACGGCTTACCCAGAAGCATATTAGGAACAAGGTGTTCAGTTTCTACCAAAACTACCCAACAAGCAAACAAACATATAAACAAACAAACAAACAATTTCCTTGTTCTTACATGATCAACCTGAAAGCAGGGGGGTCACTTTTAGGTAATTAAGAAATTCAACATGAGGAAATATTGATCATGTGTCAGGACAACTCGCAAATCGTTCCATGACCTCTACGAGTTGCACAAAGAATTCACATCAAAATAAGCTTTACGTATGGAAGCCCAAAAAGGCTCCAATTCCTTATGATTTCTGATCAAAGATATAAGATCACAAAAAGATGCAAGGATGTAAATATTTGCCTTAACTTCAACAAGATTACAACATGAAAACACAATAGTTTTCCACCCAAAGATCTAAAATGATAAAAAGTCTTCACTTGTTTATTGTTCTTATCATCTGCCAATTTTTCTCTAGGTTGAGGGAAGTTAATCAGAAAACACGGATCAACATAGCCAGCATTGATTAGAATGAGACAATGAAGAAGCCATGAAGGATCCAAGAAAAAGCAAAAACATCGAGTCATAATGTTAATTAACCACATAAAACAACAAGATGACGAGAAAATCACATATATGAAACAACAACAGTAGTCCGTGTCCACGGACAAGGAACACTGATCGGAAGCGTATAATCTACACCAAAAAGAGTTGTACTAAAAGCGGGAGCAAGAGCCAGGAATCGACGGTGCACTGGAAGCAGAAAACCACTTTCAAACTAGAAGAGGGCGGACAATGCGAAACAATTAGACTCTTCTGTTGAGACCCAAAAGGATTTCGAAGAACAAACAACTTTACCATTATAGATGGGAATTGCAACTGCAACAGCCTCTCTAGAGAACCTTTTGTTTCAATTCGAACAAGATTGTTTAATTTTGAGGACGAAATGAGATTAAAAAAAACCCGTCCTTCTTTCTTTACTCGCGATCGGGGCACCTCAAATCAACAGGTGGAGAGAGAACTCACAGCGGAAAAAGGAGAACAGATGAGAGGCGTCCCATTGCGAGGGAAACGGCACGCGACCCCGCTGCATGACGTCCGCGGCAGCGCCGGCGGAGAGGCGAGGCAGTGGGAGAACATTCCGGGCGGTGAGAGGTAGGGTCGTGGCAGTGATCCAACCGAGGTGGTTTCGCGCTTTCTCACACACGTCGGTCTCTGCAACCGTAGGTTAAAAGCTCTAGCCTGAAGGCTAGCTTACCAAGCCCATGACTAGTTCATGAGCTATTGGCTGACCTAGCTATTGGTACGATCCATATACGATCATCATCAGCAATGCACATAGATCAGTATATGGCTTGCCGGTCGTTGGATTTGGATCCAAATATTAATTAAATTAAATCAGACTTAATTAGTTTAAAGCGATTTAGGATGATTCTAAATTAGTTTAATTTATTTATGTCTGTTTAACATAAATTAAAATAAATATTGAAGCTAAATTATCTTTAGCTTGCCGTTGTGATATCTTTCAGACATAAATTTACGAGTAAACTTCATCCATATTCATCAATTGTTTTGGTCTTGGACCGAAGGAGCAAAGTCGTCCTGAGTAGCTCTTTGTATTGTTTACGATCTTATGTCTTTGATCAGAAATCATAAGGAATTAGAGCCTTTTTGAGCCTCCATACTTGTTATTTTGATGTGAATTCTTTGTACGACTCGTGGAGGTCATGGAACGATTTGTGAGTTGTCCTGATACATGATCAATATTTCCGCATGTGTAATTTCTTAATTATCTAAAAGTGACCCCTGCTTTCAGGTTGATCATATAAGAACAAGGAAATTTTTTGTTTGTTTGTTTGTTTACATGTTTGTTTGCTTTTTGGGTAGTTTTGGTAGAAACTTAACACCTTGTTCCTAATATGCTTCATGGTGATGACATATTGATGTCAAGCCATTGTTTATTTTTATCGATAAAAATGGCAATGGTTTTGTTATCCTTTAGAGCAATACCCGACGCAATCACATCAGTTATAATGGAAGTGCTTGCACGATGATGTTTCTGAATGCTGTCTACCATGGACTATTGGTGGGTTTAGTTCCAAACACCATTGTTGGGAGTTGGAAGAAGCATCAGTTCTGAAAGACAAGAGGATAGTGATGAGGATGATAGGGACATCACCGTTAATACAGTCCAGACTGCCATCGTACCGAGCATGGAGGTTCTGATCATACAGAGGACTTATTTTGTATTTCAAGAAAATTTTTTAGCTACTCCATATGTTTTGTGCTTGAAAGTAATTTGCATTTTATACATGGTTCTATCTTCTTTTGTCATACTACTTATTGGAATCTCTCATTTTGAGTAATGTGTGTCTTAAATGAACACATTTGTGTTTAGTAGTTTCTTGTATCCACCATGACAAGACTATTCTTTATGGCTTAGTTGATCTTGTAAATTTATCTTTTGTTAATAAAGACACATAACTTAAATAGCATTAAAAATGAAAAAAATGGTTACACATGTAGCTGCCTGTAACACTGTGTGTATATATATATATAGGCGAATTCATGTCGATTTCATCTTCTCAACTTGATGCAGATTGTTGAAAGGAGAGAACTAGCATCATCCACAAAAGATTGTGTTGGTACGAAAGAAAAGGAACCAGCTTCTCAAACCTTGATGCTTCGGAGAACAAATGACTCTTGGACTTCCTCTGATTATGTTCAGTCAACACAACTGAAGCTGGTATTGCTGATGAGGAGGAGGAACCCATAAATGGCTTAGAAGTTGAGCAATCCATGGCCGACGCTCTTGGGCTACTAAGAGAAGCCAACAAAGAGCAATCTCAGCCTCATGTTACACTCCCAGTTCTTCCTGACACGTCTAATTCTTATGTCATGGAAGATGAGAACCTTGAGGTCTCTGCAGTAACAAATATCCAAGCTTTGGATGAGCAACAAGAGGAGTCACCGAAGGAACGAATCTTGGACTCTTCTAACCCAAATGCCATGAACGTCATAGTGGTTGCCGCGGAATGTGCTCCATGGTCCAAAACAGGCACTCACATCCATCGCTTGTTGACATTACAGTCACCTTTTTTTTGCTGTAATTGCGCTTGCTTACCATTGTCAAGCACTAAAATGAATTGTTTCCACTTGTTGTTTCTTTGAACTAACACTTACTGATGATTTCTTATAGGTGGGCTCGGAGATGTTGTTGGAGAGTTACCCAAGGCCTTGGCCAGGAGAGGGCACCGGGTTATGGTATTTGATCCTGTGACTTATCTTTGCGTGTTGATCTCAGACACAAGTAAAAGAAACTATGGGTGGATTTATTTGTGCCTCTGCCTAGCTTGGTGTAGTCAGTTCATCAGTGAATGTGAACAGAAAATTTGAAGCATATCTTCTGAATTTTCTTTTCCATTGGCAACATGAATTGGACCTACTGATCTGATTCATCTTGTGCTTTAGGTTAGTGGCACCAAAGTATGGTAATTATGCTGAACCCAAAGGAGTAGGAGTTCTGGAAAAGGTGCAAGGTTGATGGGAAGGTATTCATCTTTTCATTGTGATATTGTTGGCAGACATCGCAAAATATATCTTCTACTTATATTTTACAGGACTCGGAGGTTACATATTATCTCAGGCCTACATTGATTGTGTTGACTTTGACTTTATCGATAGTCAAAGTCATTAAGACATGGTTTTGTAGGTTTATAGTTTGACCAATGACAATATCAACCAAATCTCATTCCTAGTGATATTTCTTTTAATGTTTAAATGCAGGATATTCTGAAAAGGATGGTTTTATTGTGCAGCGCAGCAGTTAACGATACCATATGGTAGTCATCATCTATAAATAGATAGGACCTCTAGAAACTAAATAATACATGTTATAAAAGGACATAATTGGAAGATTATATATTCTCTCCTAATCTTCCTAAACCATCAATCTAAATGATCTTATGAGAAGATAGAAAAGAGAAGAAGAAGAAGAAGACGAAGAAGAAGAGTCTAGTTCTTCTTGCAGATTGACAATAGGTTTTTGGATCTAAAGGTTGTGCCCAAATCACACAGAGATCTTTTTCAAATGACATCGAAAGGTACACATAATAAAAATCGATCTAATGTTATTTGATTTTAATTCTAATATAAAAGATTTTTCATATTATATATAGCATATCGCAGGTTTTATACTTACATGAATGATAACAAACAAAAAGATGAAAATATATACTTGCAGTCCTAATCTTCAAGACAGTCATGCAAAAGCATTCACAAAGATGCATAGATTTTACTACCATGAACCTCTTGCTAGCATCATCAACTCAGCAAAGATGAACTATAGTTTCTTGGTAGGCCTTTCGTTGTTAATATAGTTGACATTTTATCTACCAAAAATATTCCTTTTCACTTATCACTTAATTGTCACCTGAAGAAAACTGCCTCAGTTGTTTCAGGTTCCCTTGCACGTTCCATGTGGTGTCCGCTGTGGGGATGGAAATTTGGGTTTTATCGCAAACGACTGGCATACTTCCCTGCTTCCTGTTTATTCGAAGGCATCTTATCGTGATATTGGTTTGATGAAGTATGCCCCAAGTCTGTTTGTGATACACAGCAGTAGTTAACTGCAGTTTCTAATTTCCATCATCACATAAATTGATGCTACTGTGTTTATCTTTTAATGCCGGAAATAAATTTGATACCTGAAAGAAGATTCAGTAGAGAGTATACAAGTAGCTGATGCCTGAAATAAATAGCATTTATCCTGAATAATGAGGACAAAAAAAAAAAAGGATCAAGAACGTTTTCATCACTGAATTGCCTTAACCATGACATGGGTTTAATTATTAAAAATGCATGACAAATGATAAATGATAATGATGTGTGTATCACCGATATACACTCGGGGCATACTTCATCAACCCATTATCACGCTAATATGCCTTCGAAGAAACAGGAAGCAGGCAAATGTGCCAATCATTTGCGATGGAAACCAAGTTCGCATCTCCATAGAAGACACCACCACATGGAACGTGCCAGGGAACCTGAAACAACTTAGACAGCCTTCTTCAGGTGAACTAATGGTGTGTTTTGTATATTAAGCAGAATTTATCATAGAGTATTTGAACTTGTTGTTCCATGTTATTATCATTAAACATGTTTGCTTTAAAACTTGCCTAAAATATTTAGCAATAATTTCTCACAAGCATAGGTTAATTAAATAATAATCTATCCATCAAAATCTTGTAGATCGTAATTTATCATACCATCTAAAAAAATAGTCTGTAGTAAAATATTTTTTTTCATGAATATATTATATCTAAATATTTCATCAAAAATATAATTGATTTAGAGAATTCCCTTGTAATTCTTTAAATAAGATAATATGATATAAAATCAATAAGATATAAAAAAGATTATAAAATCTACATGCTTAATTAAAAACATAAAATTTAACAACTCCGAAACTTGTCTAAGGTAAAGTACTTATGGTTAACGCCTTGATCTTTTAGTATTTTCGGTCCTTGATATGTGATCATTCCAAACGTTGGTTCCTCTCCTTATATAATATGAAGATATTCCTTAAGAGGATATTTACTCTCCTTCTAAAAATTGGTTCATCTCCTCAAGTGCCATGAAAATAATTTTAAGAGGATGTTTAATCTCCTTCAAAAGGTTGGTTCATCTCCTCTTGTGATATCAAAATAATCCGATATTTAATCTTCTTCTAAAGATTGGTTCATCTCCATTTATAATATGAAGACAATTCTTGAGAAGATATTTAATCTTCTTCCAAATGTTGATTCCTCTCCTCTTATGATACGAAGATAGTCCGGGGTGATGTTTCTATCATTGTCTTTATCAATAGTCTACGAGGTCAAGCCATGACTTGTCGATCAGGATCTACAAATAGTCATGCTGGGCACAAGAAGGTGAGACCTCAAAGATATGACTCGGGGATTCGAAAACGCACATCGCGACAAGGCTAGGGCATGGATTGGGTTTTCTATGAAGATGGCTCATTGAATCACAACAAGTGACACATACAGAAACCACAAGAAGAGTTGGGAGGGACTGTAGGAACGAGGGATGATGCAAGACCTGGGATAACGCTGCTCAGCACTACGAAGAAGTCCTTATTGTGGCCGAGTACCAGTGGTAATTGCATGTTCCTTGGAATGCATGTTGTTGATGGAACCCTATGCTACCTACCAGTGCATAAGGTTCCATGGCCTTCTAAGGAACAGGCATTACCATTGA